TATACATACGCCTTACGCCAATAGCGACACCAGGCAACCAGCTCAAAGCCGACGCGTCTCACCGTGACCCACTGATGAAGTCCTTCTTGTGGTATGTCGCTGCGACGTGCCATAGTGACTGAGACTCGTCCTCCTTCGTGACAGGAATCGGCCAGCGAGTGCGGTATTGTCAGATGGGGAAGCAATCGCAACCAGGTTTCGATAGCAGGTTTGACATATTCCTTCTTCATGCCCGCCGCAAGCAGCAGATCACAATGAAAGAGTGTGATAAATCAAAAATTCCGCCCCCTATGGTCCCGAAGGACAATAGAGAGTAGAGTGACTCCGCGGGTGTGCAATGCAGGCCCTCTACGCTAGAAAGGCCAATTCTTGAGCTGGCTTTCCTGAGGCAAGGTAAGTATGAAGAGTTCAAAATGAGTGGGAAGAAAAGCGCGTTTATATACCGATGTCTTAGCATGGCCCGTGCACGAGGCTTCAACTTTGTGCCTCAGGTCGTGTCGGTCACCAACGCTAAACTTGGAATGGCTCCATGTGATTGGAAAGTGAGGAGGCTGGACTTCCAACTCGACATTGAATGTTCCACCTCCACAAACTTGAGACAGGAACCTGCATGGGAATGAGCAGGAAGCAGCTAGTAAGCTTTTGGCTCTGAGGATAATACGAATTGATAATTCGCCCAGAGCCAACAGTATACGCTTTGTTTGGCTGCCATGCAAACTCATTTCCTCACTTATTATAATGGCTTTTATGCTCGAGGCTTGATTCAATCATTTGGTTCTAGACTTTTACCTCTATGATAAGGTAAGGTATGTAGCTTCTTAGTGCACTCGGATGCGGCCCGCGGTCATCTGCAAGGCGGTAAGGCATCAATTTCCAGCCGCTCTCGGCCAGTCGTTGGGCCAAAAAGTGGAGGATAAGTCCCATGACGCACTCAACACTAAGCCACTCGCCATCCACCATTCTGCCCTGATAACGACTCTCTCATCATCTTCACACGACTTCCGTCATCTAATTACTGCTTCGTATTATTTTCGCAAACATCACCATATCCCACAGCCATTCAAACTTCGCGAGATAACCCCGCGCGATGAGACTCTCTACCATCACCGCGTGTCTGACGGCATGCCTGGCCCCAGCGGCGGCTTTGAGCGTTCTCAATGGCAAGGCTCCCGATGTTACTATCAGCGACGACCTCAAGATTCCGGGCGACTCTCCCCTTGAACTGTGCCCTGGAGACCATACTGCCGACCTGATCAGGATTGACAAGGTCGACCTTGCTCCTAACCCCCCCAAAGCGTACGATTCATCTGCTTCTCCTTGCACAACCCTAAGAGACTAACATTTTGATAGCGGCCAGGAACTCTTGATCAAGGCTAAGGGAATAGTCAAGCAGAAGATTGAGCAGGATGCTTATGTTCTTCTCACCGTCAAGTATGGACTTATTCGCCTTATTAGCACCAAGGCCGATCTGTGCGAGCAGATTGGCAATGTCGACCTGAAGTGTCCCGTCGAGGCTGGTGAAGTCGAGATCACCAAGACTGTAGACCTTCCTGCCGAGATCCCTCCGGTATGTGGCTATTCCTTGCTTCTCCCATGCCTGTTTCTAATTCGCTCCAGGGCAAATATACTGTTCTGGCCGACGTCTTCACCGCCGATGATGTGCAAATTACCTGTCTCACGGCAACTGTCACTTTCTCTCGTAGCAGCAAGGGCTTTTTCGGCAGCGATCTGTAATTAGGATTATGGCGCATTCATAACATACACGTGGCGGCATGACTTATCGTTGGGCACGTTCTCATGGGGTTCTAGGTTAACGTTTGGTTTGGCGAATCTTCTAGCTCTTCCGGGGCAACCTGCAGCGGCTTGAGATTTATTTAGCATATCTGATAATGAGTCCATTGCATCGTGCTCTACTTTGCATCTCTGTAGGAGGAACTGCCCTGCGGTCGAAGAAGAAGAAAAACGTAATGCCGACCTCAAATCATGTACAGCCATGCTCACTGCTGCCTCTATACCGTGCTCGCTCCATTATCCCGAAACAAACCCTTGCGCCCAGTGAAACGATGTCCCCTACTCTCCAAAAAGACGTCGCACTCGCCTCAATACACTATCCTTCTCAGGGTCGTAGGGATGATCTTTGCTTGGGATCTCCAACACAGCAGGGAAAGCCGCGGTATAGGTGTCAATGCGATGTCGGATTCGGTCGGCGATCTTCAGGAGAGTTAGTTCAGCGGCAAAATAAGTCGGAACATTGTCTGACATGTTGATTGATGAGTACGATGCCAATATCTTTGCGATCCTCGGTGAATCGATCAAACGCGGACTCAATCGCAGCTGTATCGGTCTTGCCATCAACAACGAGGAAGTTCTTCTGAGCATCGGCGCCTGTCGTTACATGCTGTTGAATAGAGTTAGCATGTGTAAAGGGACTGAGCAGTGATTGAGACTCACGCCAATACCCGCGAGAAGCAGGCCTGTTACGGAGTCCTAGATGAGAGCTACGTCAGCGCAAGCTTTTGAACAAGGAGCCTTTCATTGAAGCTCATACTTCGTCGCCGATGACCGCGAGGAACTGACGGTCCTTGTAATCCGCTTGCGAGGCCATCTTGATGATAGTGGACTTGTGTTTACACGTCCCTCTTATTGGTGTTGATGGCGCTGAGTTGATGATTAGAGTAACAACTAACTACGAGGAGGTCGGCGCCTGAAGTTCCGCTCCGCCTGGGAACCTGGAAGCTCTGACCATTGCGAGTAAGGTACCGTACTGCTTGATCCCCACGTCAGGTGGATGCTGCAGCCTCCACTGGGTTTCTACTGGTCAGCTTGGGGCAGGAGGTACTGTACTAGTGAACAAAGAATTGACCTGGTCCTTAGCAACAGTGAGCTCAAAGTAAACAACATCCGGCCAAGTAGCCGCCTCTCTTTCTTTATTACTTTAGTGCGGACTCGCGACTCTCTTCCCTGGTATTGCGATCGCGAATACACAATTTCAAAGGAGTCAATACCCTGCAGTGTGTTCAACATGCCACGCCTAGTTCGCCGGCAGCCGCTCAGAGAGCGTATCATGGCTGCTATCAACCCTATGGACTTTTTGCTCTGGCTATCTGAAGAGCTGGAAACAAGAGATTGGGATTCAGCTTCAGTTGGGACACAAATGGGCCTTACCACGAACTTCGTCTTTTTACTTGCGCGCGCGAACTCGGGATCATCTTCCCCAAGTGACGATATTTTCAGTGATGAAACCAGTTCAGGGTGGCTATCATTCTTGGTAAGTTCTCGTCTTCTCGGTCGGACTGCTGTATATCATGTTGAGGCTAATCGCATATATTGTAAAGATCTATCCGCTGGTATGGGCCCTCATAGCTTTCTCTTTCACCAATGCTTTCTACACGGTTACGCGAACGCGCACGTATCGACTCTTTCTGGCCAAGGTCGACAGGCCGCTTTCGACGCCTTCTGCACGACGTGTGAAAGTGAACCAATCGAGCGCATCGCCTTCGACGCCCCTGAGCTATCTCGCAAATCTGATAACACCAGAATCTGCCGAGTCGCGAGCCCACCCAGACAAGACATCAGATGTTTGGGAGTTGTCAGTCTGGGATCCTCTGCCAGTGTCCTTGCGCCTGTCTTGTCTATTTGGCCCTGGACATGTTTTGGTGTACATGATCTTCCTTCCTCTAGCTCCTCTCGACCCCCGACCAAGTGTGACGGTTTTGAATACACTCATTCTGCAGGCCCTTGTTTCTGCTCAGCTTCTCTTCTTCTGTTCTCGATTTGCGCAACAAGCAAAGGATAAGGCCGTGATTCAGGAGCAAGTGATGAAAGAGTACGATACCAAGTTTGTCCACCCACGTCTTCACCCTACGGTGCGCGATATCGGCACACAGTTCTCGACAGACCAGCCCGACGACTATCAAGAATTTGTGCAGACTGGGACCCCTACAGTTCAGATCCGTCATGGTTTCCAGGTCCACTCTAACCCATATACCGGAACGGATCATACCCCTGAGGAACGATCCCTCACCCCAACCTCCAACAACGTAATGAAGCCTCACATGTTCACGCCTCCCACAGCAACTAGACGCTCGGAGGCTTTTAGACCCGCTACCAGCCAGAAAGGCACCGTACCTCGCCATAGTTTGCCTGCAGGCTACACATCAACTGGGACATCTTCGGGAGTTCAGGGAATGAACTTTGGTGGAAACATGGGCATCCACACCCATAATAAGTCACCCCTCAAGAAGGCCACCAGTCTTAATGAACTCAATCCCCAGGAAGCAGCATCTCCGCGGAACTCTCGAGAAATGGCAGCCTACGAGCAACGAAACTGGGGAGCAACAACGCCATCGAAAAAGCTTGAGAGTCGCCGTCTGACAGGTTCAAGGCTTAATGGAGGCGGCAACCCCTTTGCTGGGTTGGGTCGGCAACAAGCACCCTCGGATAATCGCCATCCTCGATGGTAGCTTTCCAATTATTATCTTGCTCGTTAATACATTTAACCACATCGAAACTGGGTGTAGCCTCAAATAGCAAAGATTGGCGTTAGGGTCTGGCTTCTGAATAAATACCATGGAATACCCTGAATCCCCTTCACCTATCTCCGTCGTCAGCTTGTATTTGATGATCTATGCCTGCTCTGATATGAATCGTTGTTATGCGTCAAGCATAAGGGATATCAGAAACGTTGGCAGGTGGGAGGATGGCATGCATTCGTTGTGGTTTCCCTTGAAATATCATTATGGCATACACGAGGAAGGCTAAGTTGACGGATTCTCGGGATACATGCCCATGGTTCACTTGATGTGACGAATCTTTTCTTCGACAAATACTGTTGATCCTCGTATTCATAACTGCTATCTATACCTAGCGCCTCTCGTCTCACAGGTGAGAATACATTACAATCACTAATAGCCCCCTCTATCATACTATCGTTAATCAACGGCTGAACAATCAACAAGAGTAAGGTGACTCATCAGCGACGCGGCTGCTTGCACCTAAACATGTCTAAGAAACCACATTGGTCATCGTTACGTCGCAGGGCAGCATTGTCTGACCATCTTTTCCTGCCTTCACGTCCACAGAATCTTCCACGACACATGGATGATTCCGAAAGAAGACGAACACTTGGAGATTTGGGTAAACTAGCTAAGGAGAAACAGGAAACTACTCGGAGTGCTACATTAGGGGATGTGGGAGATTGGTTCAGAAACAAACTTCCAAGTCATCGTGCAGAGAGAGGAGGGACATTGAGAAACAACGGGGGTCGGGAAATCGGAGCGGTTGCTGACAATTCTTCATCTCAACTTCAACACAAAAGCAACAATGAAGAATCGGCACAGCATCACTCTGCTTCAAATCGCCGAGGGGGTCAACGCAGCAGAACCGGGGGTTCAGATCGTCTTGTAGACTGGAACACACCAAAAAACCTAAGTGAAGCAGTGCCTGGACCAACACCCGCATCTAAAAACAGATGGAATGACTTCGGTTCCCTGAAAATAGGCAAGAAGCGCGGTCAGAAGAAACAGAGTGACAGTATAGAAGCCGAGAAGGGCAAAGAACAGCAACCTATGAGGCGCTCCTCCAGAGCTCAGTCCTTTGCGGCAGCCATTCAAGGAACACCTAGCATATTGGAAGTTCTAGAAGCCAATCGAAAGGCAAGGAGAAAAGCACGGAAGGACCGGGAAAGTTTGAGAGAGAGCGGAGATTACCTGGGTGTTCAAGGTGTCAATCCGCAGACGGGTATTCTTGATCTTACATCGGACAGTGGAGAGAGTACGCTGAGCTCGAAAACGGAACAAAAGCTGCTGAACCTAGAGGCACAGGCCAAGAGCACTTTATCAGCTGCCGAAAGAAAGGAGGCCGAGATCGAAATCGTCAAGATACATCTTGACCACGAGGTCGCTAAGGCACGACGAAAAGAGAAGGCAGAGAAACAACTGGCAGCTTCTGTCACTGCCAAATGGCGAAGGGGGACACACCAGTGGTCGTCGGTCCAGGAACCTGATTTGAGCCCAATTGCCCAATCGCACAGAAGTACTTCAGTATTCTCAAGTCAGTATTCCAATCTACTTATGCCACCTCCGCCTTGACACATTCAACTGAATCCGTCTTTCGATGTAGGGCGCCCGTCACGCCGAGACCCCAATATGACAAAGGAAGAAGGGCTGATCGACTTTAATTCAAAGGAATCGTCTGATGGAGAAGTCCCGACTGCTGTACGACCCAAGGAGGGTTCCAACTCATCTGACACAGTGGTCAAAACCCCTCACAGACGCAGCCTGGCAAACCCATCTCCTTCAGCCTTGGAGCTTTTCGAGAATGACATAAAATTCCATAACCCAAGCGAGCCCAGGCTAGACAGAGATCAGATCCCAGGGTCTTCCCTCACACCCGCGCACGATGATACACAGATACAAACGCCTGCCAACGAGACACAACATCTGCAAGGGAACCAGAAGTTTCACGAGGCAGGCGGACCACTGGCGTGCCACAGTGAACAAAACCAGCACTCCAGTTCTTTTTTAGAGAAGGGCCTAGAAGGGGCAATAGAACCTGGAGGAACCCAGATGCCTCGAGTGTCAATCAGGAAGGACTCTTCATCAGATCTCTCGATGAAACCGAACCTCACAGCATCAAGCACCAACCACTTACTAGTGAAGAGCAAGATCGAGATACGAAGCCAACACGAAAACAGCATTCCAGAAAGCTACGTGCAAGATTTGACGATCACCCACGAGAAATCCATTACCCTCCCGACAACATTGGAACAGACCGCGTCAAATTCCCTAGAAAGCCAGTGCCAACACACTCCAGTCTCGACATCCCATCAGCAAGTCCTCGCAGGACGTGTATAGAACCCGCACCTAACAGGAAACTCAAAGATACGGTCCAGTTGGGAGCAAGAGGCACTGAACAACTCAACACCGTCTCCAACAGTCCTACTGCTCCAGAGACGAACAATGAAAGCTGGGATCACAAGCGGCCCACTGCCCCAGAACGAGACAAAGCGGTCAGCAACTCTAGATCCCCTCACCGCTCCTCCATTTCCCTTGAAGGAAGCTACAGTCAAAGAGAGGCTGCAGAACCTACCCAAAACCACCCGGCAAACAACACAAACAAGACACCAGATAACCAGAGGGAGTCTTCCCCAATCCTTGCATCAAGTCCACGCGAAATCCGTGACCGAAGATCAAATAACGGAGTGGGTTTGGGCGCAGAGCGCGAATCACGACATCACGAAAAGGTGCGAAGTCAAGGGGGCGTCTGCATCCACAAACATCACCATCACTACTGGGTGCGACCAGATAAAATCGAAATACCCCCCGAAGAGAGGTCAAGAGGCCGGGGAAGGCCTCCAGCGCAAACGCAGGCTAAGTCGGGTAATCCACAACCTGAAGAGATTTGGCACAACGCCAAACAGCTTAGAAGCTTCCCCAGAGAATCGTGGACTGAGTACATTGCTGAAATCGGCGTCGGTGAAAGAGATTCAAGTGATCGATACTATATTGGAGAGTCTTCTGGAGGAGTCGAGAAATCCACCACAGGCACAAGTGTGCGACACCATGGAGGAACTAACAGAGGTACCAGCAATGCAGGAACGATGCAGCAGTTCGTCAACATCCACTTGCACATTGGGCGTCAAGAACATCGAAAAGGAGGGGAACACGGAGAACATTCCTCGGAAAGCCAGCACTCCATTGAGCAATCTGGATCTTCTATCTCAAATATATATGCCAGGAGTCAGCAATCGAGCAGCGGATCCGGGGATGCACGTGCCAGGCAATCTTCCAAGACAGTGGAACGCCGAAGACGGCATCGCAGATCTTTCCAGTAATAGATCTCAGCAGGAGGGTATGACGGGAGGGTTGTGGGATGCTATCAAGGAGTTTCTGTGTACGATCAAGGAGTACAACATACAGCTTTTGAGATTGTACTGGAAGGCGGTGACGCCTGTTTTTGATTACAGTTCCCCGTACTGGAGAGCTACCGATCGAGAAAGCGTTGCCTGGACAGATTTGGCGAGTACTTGTCTCGCATTGCCCCTCATACTCGGGTTGTTGGTGATAATGGTTTGGGTTATGGAGTTAACGGCAATCACAATGAAGTGCAGGGAAGAGGACTGGGATTGTTTAGTTGACGAGGCATTGGCGATGTTTCGGCGCAGCTTGACCGGAGTCTACATGGACGAATAGGTACACAACGGCCGGGCGGATACCCGGGAAAGGACCGGTGCCGGAGACGACATAGCCCGGGGCAAGCCGCACGCCGATGGCGGATGCGGAGGGAGGTAAAAATAGATGATACACAGTACGACTTTACAATACAGAATAGGTACCCTGATTATCGCATGGGTAGTTGTGAAAATAACTGTCCCGGTCCACTTCGCATTGATTCTCCAATGTCTCAAGCTGTGCTGGCTTTCCGTACTCATAAGGTTCATGTTCAGGTCACACCGTGTAAGAGCCGAGCTGAACCTGATGCTATTAGCTAATTTGCAAATGTCTAAGACTCGGCATTGAGGGAGGCCAAGTCAATTAATGTCGTAATTAGACCAGGGTAGAGCCGTGGAGTTTGGAAAAGGACCAAAACTGAAAGGCAATCGGAGGTCGTGGACTCTTGACATCGGAGGTTGAAAAAGCAGCGATCAACGAGCAACCAATAGCAACCAATTATTTAGCAATCAGTGCAGGAGGCAGCTGTGGGTCTACCCCGCGCTGGCGCCCGTCCTGGGGCTTCTGGCCTCTTGGTGAGCTCCAATTGCTGACGGCCGCAAACGGACCCCTCCGATCATCGGCGCCTTCGAACCAATTTCTATGAAGCTCGTGGAATTGGGCAGGAGGGGCGCTCAGGTGAAATTTTGTTGATAAACCCCAGGAAGAGACGCCTCTTTTCCTCTAGGTAATTCCAGTCCAATTCCTGATTTCTTCTTTCTTCAGCTGCATCATTTCCTCTGTTACCCTGTTCAAAGCGGGGTGTTACCTATAGCTTCCTCTCTTCACCTTCACAACTCCATCAACTCTACCTTCTTCTCCTACAGTCAACTATATATACCTTCTCACCCCGCATTCGTGATATCTCCTGTTCACGAGAGTCATTCATCACTCTCCAGTACTACTATCCAAAGCTATCCACCAAAGAGTGGTTATAAACATCAAAATGCCTGCTCCCGTGGGTAACCCCCAGACCCTCTACGATAAGGTGTTCTCGGCACATATCGTCGACGAAAAGCTCGATGGCACAATTCTCCTCTACATCGGTACGTTTGTGTGCGTTCGATTTTGCTTATGGGCAGTGAACTGACGAAGTTGGCCAAAAGACCGGCACTTGGTCCACGAGGTGACATCACCAGTAAGTTTAACTTCTCCAAAGCATCGACGTCATGTTCCGAACATCCGCTAACCAATTACCAACAGCAAGCCTTCGAGGGTCTCGAAAATGCAGGCCGCAAAGTCCGGAGACCTGATTGCACTCTTGCAACCACTGATCACGTATGCATTGCCAATCAACTGAAAGCTGCTGTAAATGGTGGCCAACAGAGCATTTACTAACCCTGGACCCTGCAGAATGTCCCCACCACATCCCGCAAAGCCCTGAAGGACATTGCTTCATTCATCGAGGAGGACGATTCGCGAACACAGTGTGTCACTCTGGAAGAGAATGTCAAAAAGTTTGGTGTCACATATTTCGGCCTGGGCGACAAACGACAAGGTATTGTCCACATCATTGGTCCCGAGCAGGGCTTCACTCTTCCCGGAACCACCGTCGTGTGCGGTGACAGCCATACCTCAACACATGGCGCCTTCGGTGCCCTTGCCTTTGGTATCGGTACCAGCGAGGTTGAGCATGTCTTGGCCACCCAGTGTCTCATAACAAAGCGCAGCAAGAACATGAGGATACAGATTGATGGTGAGCTGGCCCCTGGCGTCAGTTCCAAGGACGTCGTGCTCCACGCCATCGGCAGGATCGGAACTGCCGGAGGTACGGGCGCAGTTATTGAGTTTTGCGGGTCTGTTATCCGTAACCTGAGCATGGAGGCTCGCATGTCCATCTGTAACATGTCCATCGAGGGTGGTGCCCGCGCTGGTATGGTTGCCCCTGATGAGATCACTTTTGAATATCTTAAGGGACGGCCCCTTGCCCCCAAGTATGGCTCCGAGACCTGGAACCAGGCTGTTGCCTATTGGAAGTCTCTCCAGTCTGATCCTGGTGCCAAATACGACATTGACGTCTTTATCGACGCCAAGGACATCATTCCCACCATTACTTGGGGAACCAGCCCTGAGGATGTCGTTCCCATCACCGGATGTGTCCCTGACCCTGAGACCTTTAGCAGTGAGAGCAAGAAGGCTGCTGGCCGCCGCATGCTTGAGTACATGGGCTTGACGGCTGGAACACCAATGGAGGATATTCCTGTCGATAAGGTGTTTATTGGATCATGCACCAACGCCCGAATTGAGGATCTGAGAGCCGCTGCCAACGTTGTGAAGGGGCGAAAGGTTGCCGATAACATCAAGCGCGCCATGGTTGTCCCTGGCTCTGGCCTTGTGAAGGCACAGGCTGAGGAGGAGGGACTTGACCAGATCTTTGTTGATGCTGGTTTTGAGTGGAGAGAAGCTGGATGTAGCATGTGTCTGGGCATGAACCCTGACATTCTGGCCCCCAAGGAACGATGTGCCAGTACATCCAACCGAAATTTTGAGGGCCGACAGGGTGCTCTTAGCCGAACTCACCTCATGTCTCCTGTCATGGCAGCTGCTGCCGCTATTGTTGGCAAGCTTGCAGATGTTCGCAAGCTATCACACTACACCCACCAATCTGCCTTTAAGCCCCGTGAGCTCCCTGCGGAGGAGCCACACGTGGACGAGCGAACCAGGGATGACTCTGAGGAGCGAGAGATGATCGGAGATCAGCCTCAGGACTCTCAGCCTCACACCAACACTCTGGCCAGCGCTGGAGGTGCCGCTTCTGGTCTGCCTAAGTTTACTATCTGGAAGGGCACTGCGGCTCCTCTGGACCGATCCAATGTTGACACCGACGCCATCATTCCCAAGCAGTTCCTCAAGACAATCAAGCGAACAGGTCTTGGTACCGCACTGTTTTACGAGCTTCGATACAAGGAAGATGGGTCTGAGAACCCTGACTTCATCTTGAACCAAGAGCCCTTCCGACAAGCCAAGACTCTGGTTGTCACTGGACCCAACTTCGGGTGCGGCAGCTCTCGAGAGCACGCTCCTTGGGCCCTTCTGGATTTTGGCATCAAGTGCATCATCGCTCCCTCCTTCGCTGATATCTTCTTCAACAACACTTTCAAGAATGGCATGCTCCCCATCAGGATCGAGAACAAAGACAACCTCGAAGCCATCGCCGCGGAGGCTCGTGCCAATCGTGAGATTGAGATCGATCTGCCCAATCAGCTAATCAAGAACGCTGACGGAGAGACCATCTGCTCATTCGACGTTGAGGAGTTCCGCAAGCACTGCCTGGTCAACGGCCTCGACGACATTGGCCTGACCATGCAGCAGGAGGACAAGATTGCCGAGTTCGAGCGACGCATGACACAAAACACCCCATGGCTCGACGGCACAGGTTACCTGAAGCGTCCCGGACAGGGTGGCAAGCTGGCCGCTAAGGCTGTCCCTGTTCCCAAAACAAATCGCGGCGAGGAGAAAAAGGAGCCCCTCGAGTGGTGATTCGGACCAAGACATGAGAGAATGAAGAAATTATCTAACGGCGAAGGGATCTGGGCTACTGGCATATGATGGTTAGCATGTGGTTTTTGTGGTTTCAAGTATTTGCCGGGGTTGATGGACAAAAAGGATTACTGACTTTGCTCACATTGAATGTTGAAGCACCGAAAAATTTGGAGTACATGTCAATTCGTAACTAGTGAGAAGATTTATGAATCAAAACGATCATGATTAATAGCAACTGATTGAAACAAAAACTCTTTTATACGATGTAAAACTGGTTCCTTCAAAAAACGATGGTTTGATACGCCGTGCTATCTGATTAGGTAGAATATGCTACGAGGCCAAATAATATCAATCCCCTTTTTTGATCTCATCGCGAAGAATACCGACGTGTACCACGAAACCGGCCGAAGATTGCAGTTCTGCGGGCAGTGCACTATCAGAAACTCTCCAGACATGGAATGAAGTTGAAAACGCCTTTAACCAAGACTCGAATACTTCGTCACTTCGAAGTTGTTGCCCAATGACACAGACACACGGCCGTTTTTCTTCATCATTAGCAAAGGCTTCATCAGAGAGTCTTAAACGGCATGCGTCTGAACATGCCTGAACGAAGGGGTCTACCAAAGCATAGTTATAAACACAGTCACAGGCGACAACGGCGTCAAAGCTATGAGCTTCATCAGAACCGGTCAGAGACGGAGTTACCTCATCCGTCTCCCAATCAAGTGTTGTGAAGCGAATGTTGGGTTGCGCTACACCATGCCCATGCCCGTGGCCACTTCGTTTCTTCTTGCCTCGACCACTCGTCGGCGTAGACGTCCCCGAGCTCAAAGCAGGGGACAAGTTCTCGTTAAGATTGCGCTGAACAAGACGCTGCACATAGGACTGATCGGTGAGGACATAGCGTGCTATGCGTGGACCAAGGGCTAGGGCACTCAGGGGGGAAATGCCACAGCCGAGTTCAAGCACGGAGGCGTTTGAATGGATGGTTTTAGCAAGAATGGGATTTGACGGGGAAGAGAGCCACGAGGCGAAGCTGGGGGCTATCTTCCATAATACTGTATCTCAAGTCAGCCTTTCCTCTCGAGGAGTGAGTGTGAGAGGGGAAATCTACCAGCGCCTGTTGTTCCACCTGCGCGTGACGATGACAGAACAGTAGGAGACTGATGAATAGTGTAGTCCCGATCAGCAACAGAAACATCGACGGAAGTAGCACGGGAGTCGACGAAGCCAAGATTCATGGAAGGGATTGGCTGTGAGTACAGCATAAAAGTTTCTATGCATTTTTTTTTTAGTGAGACCTGCATGAGTGTTAAGATCTTGTGAGCTGACCTTCTTCTGCGTCTTCGACTTCTGGCTCAAGATTCGCCAAGAGGCTATCTACAAATTCCATTGTGAGATATTGCCTGTTCTGATGAAGCTTGGTAAGAGTTTTGTGTTATGTTGAATAGAGCATTTCGTTGAAAAGCGTTGGTCTAACATGGAGATACCGAGATAGTGTGAAAGCGCTTAAGGTAGCCGAGTAAGGAGAAGTTCAGTATAAGTGGATCCCGCCTTATACCAAATTATAGAGGTGAGTACTATATCTCAGGAACTTGAAAAGGAATCACCAAGACATATCCCTGAGTCCTATGGCATGTTATAAAGCAATGAAGCTATACAGAAAGGCAAACAGTCATGACTAGCACATGTCTAGCCGCTATCGATTCGTCAGAGGCGGAATATATCAATATGCCGGAAGCTCACGACAGAATCGAGCCCTCACAAGTCCCAGACTCATAATCGTAGCATAGGACCGTATAAAACCATGAGAAGAAAGAGCTTGGGGTCACCATGGCGTCTAAGCAGCCAAGTCTAAAAGCACTCTTTTAAACGCAAACAAAACATTCACAATCAATAAAAATACAGAGCCTGGTACAAAAACAGCAAGGCGATTTATTCCGTAGTCAGAGATCCCTCAAGTCGCGTTCTTGTAAAGCAAGAGGCCGTGCGCTTGGGTCCGTGACAAACAGTGAAAGCAAAAAGGTAAAAGCTCCTCACACTCCTGGCCAGATAGCACCCATGGATCCTTCTTTTCACTTGTAGGTGTTTTTCTTTGATTTCATTTCCTTCCCTTTGTTCCTGGCTCGTATTCCGTTCATGTCGTTGTTGGTGGGATCTCGTTGCCCCTACACCAAACCGTCGTAAAGTGATAGCGCTGAGACGATAGTCTCGTCCCGTTTGCTACCCTCCTTGAACTCCTCCATATCTAGACTTCCATTCTCGTCCTTGTCCATCATGCGGAAGATCTTCCTCACTCGTTTTTCAGGGGTATCTTCGTCTTCGGGCAATTTAACCATAGAACCGACCTATTGATGTTTAGTAGGGGTTCGTCCTTCCACTCGCATTCCCAGGGTCCTATCGAAACATGACGCTACAAAGCTGGGCGCGAAGTCGGTACTCACCATCTTGTAGATAGCTTCGACAATCTTGAGCATCTCATCATAGCTAATCTTGCCATCGCCATCGATATCGTACAGCTGGAATGCCCAATCCAGCTTGTCCTCCATCTTGCCTCGGCTAGTAACACTTAGCGCGCAGATGAATTCTTTAAAATCAATAGTGCCGGACTTGTCGCTGTCGAAGACGTTGAATACATAATCGGCGAACGAGCTCGGGTCTCCGAAGGGGAAGAATTGTCTGTAGATTTTCTGGAACTCCTCCTTGGTGAGTGTACCCGAGGGACAGTCCTTGAGGAAGCCTAGCTCTGATGTTAGACACAATTCTAACCTTATGAAACGGTACAGACTCCTGATATGGATCGAGTGAGAGTCCATGTCGGTATCAGTGTCAGAGACCTACCCTTGTACCATTGCTGAAGCTCCTTCTTATCGAAATGAGTCGACTTCTGCAACTCGACGAGCTGATCTTGGGAAAGCTTTGACTGTCTGCATAGGCACAGCGAGGTTAGTATCATTGTGATGTGGTCGATCCTTCAGTATAATGACGTCGGTCCCTAGCTTCCGCGGGGATCCGAGGTTGACAAATGCGCTTGCGACTCGATGTGATTCCTGGCGCCAGGTGACGCAAAAGACACCGAGGCATGGGGGCGACAGGACGAATAATACGGTAAAGTAACTGCCGAAGACAGCAGGAATATGTTGGAGATAAACTTACGATTTGCCCATGACGCCTCTGACTTGACGATGTTATCAGCGGGGGGTATAGAGAGCGCGAATTGCGCGACGGTCGAACAAGGACTTGGACGTCTGGGGCTATCTTTAAACTCGAAGGAAATGAGGTGCTCTCGAACCAAGGCGCCGCAGTGAGGACGAGGATAAGGTCGGTTTCTTCTGAGAATTGTTTGTCGGTAAGAAACGTGGTAGATGATGATATCAGTGTTGATGTCAATAGCGGGAGGATTGCGGGTGGAAGTAGGTTACGATGGGGCTGGAGAGAAGCGAGGCGCTTAGTGAGGGGAAGGCTATTAAGCTCTCAGGGTCGTGCGACAGTAATAGGCGAGGAGAAACGAGTTACAGTCGTGAAGGGACACAAGAGACGTAGAGGCTCAGGTAAAAGTCGGTTCGAGCAGCGGGAGCAATGAAAGAAGAGAGATGGAGATGGAGATGGAATAACTACCTGCGTCGTAGGTAAGTAGGTAAGAAGTGGAGGCCGCTAGATACTGATGCAAGGTGTAAGGCCAAGCAAGCAAGGCAGGGCAAAGAAGGAAGGAAGGAAGGAAGATGATGAGGGTCAGGCGGGAGACAGACAGTCCAGTCCGACGGGGTTACCTAAAGGCGATCCAACATGGCAACAACTCCGCTGGAATAAAATCGCCGCCCAGCACACCCTCCAGGGCATCATAGGGGTCTCAGTGCAGTATTAGGCACTTGTGGCCTCCGTAATTAGGGGACGAGTTAGTGGGGGCGGGGTCTCTGGATAGCAGCCCAGCCCAAAACCCCGCCGTACTCCAAGTGGTCGGGTCTGTGATACTATCCATCCAATTGGTAAGCGAAAGCGCGCTCTGAATGCAGTCTCGACCCATTGGAAATCTGGTTTTTTCCCCTTCGCTTCTAAGGTAGGTAGGTAGGTATTTAATGACGAATCCGACTCTGTCCGTGAATATGATGATCCGAGATTTCCAGAACACTCTGCTTTGCCTAGGTACTCATACAATAGACTGAGCGACCAAAGTTATTCAGAATACTGACGCTGATACTGGTTCTCAAGAGACCTGGGCTTGTTTGTCTACAAGACCAGCTGCCTACTGTAGCAACGACTTGGCTACCAGAAATATCAAAGAGGCTGTGTCTTTTTCGATTTCTCGAAGCGTGGCGACCAGGTTATCCACGCATGCAACCAATAACCCAGCACAACATTGTGGCTGTGCTATCCTGCCTAGCCTGTTCTGGGTTATCATTCTGATCCGCGTGGATTCTTTTGCCGTGATCGAGTTCAATTTTTGGGCCTAATAGAGTCCGAGGATATAAGCCTCTGATCGATTTACTTAGAGACTAATATGTCTTGATGTTTTGGTTCTAGAACAACTGGACCAGTGGTATACTTGGAGTTCTGATAGCGCTCGTGACACTTGAAAAAGATGGTCTATCTTTAGCTACGGACTAATTAATACCCAAGCATCCACCGATACACACTGACTTTAAGCAAAACAGTTGTAATTCCATAACACACAATTAGCGCTCATGTGTCACAACTCACAGGGGCAAGAATCTGCGCCAAGTCGGCACCAAACCACTTTATCGTCATTAAGCTTTTGCTGCGCCCACCTCGACTAAATAAACACTCCTTCACCTTGCCTCCAAGGAAAAGCTTAGGATGACATACAGCCCCTGCAAGTAATGCCTCAAGAGGCCTCACATATCAACTATTATCATTGGATCGTGTCTGTTCACAAGATCTAATTGTACTCCGTAGAGTGAAAACATATTTCCAGTGCTAAATAAGTGCTCAATTTACACCCAAGAGAAGTCTTGCTTAGAGGTATCGTAACCATAGTT